TAAAGAGCTTCAGTTTATAGAGAGCATAAGTTTCTGTCCTGAAATACACTCAGTAGCACCCGAAACATGCAACCACTCAAAACAGAAATGTGCTGGCAAACACGAAACGCAAATGTGTTCATCTTCCAAAGAGCCCCACTACGCACAGAACATAAGTCTGAGGCCCAAAATAATACCCAGCACCACCGAAAACACACATGCTTTCCCACATCTCGCCTTGCTTCCATCAGTTTAGCAGCGCAGTGAAGCCATTTCCATAGCTAGCATATGCACTGCAGGAAGCCTAGCCAAGGTTTAACATTCTTTTGTTAATTTGGCAGAGGGGAAAGACACAATAGAAGAGAGCCCTACAATTTGCAGCCATCTGCAATACCGAAAACAGTAATAAACTTGAAAAGTGCTGTTGTTATACATGTTATTGCTCCTAGCAAGCCAATACCTTCAAATATTTATGCCTTTTTACATCTAAATTAATGCCTCTTAATTTTTGTAGCAAGAAAGTGTTTTCAGGCTTCTCCTCCCATTATATGACCATTAATCTTGTCCACTAGTTCAAGCTCCTGTAGCACAATGCAATTTACTCTGTCAGAGATCACTGGATAAGTCATACTCAGTTATAAATGTAAGGCATTAAACTACTTAACGCTCTTATTTTTAGGTTTATGACATGCTCCACCAGTGCTTGGTGTCTTAAGTCACTTCATCTTCACACAAAGAAGAACATCTCCCCAGCCCCATGGGACGCAGTGACCGCCAGACTCATCGCTTTGCTTCTAAACAAGCATGGAGTTCCTCAAAGGATGCTAAAATCCGTATTTTAAATTAAAGTTTGTGCAAGAACAGTCGCAGACGTCTCAGAGACAGGTCTAGATGTAATTGCTTCCCCCACTTGAATATGTTCGCTGTCCTAATGATGAATCTACCATCTCCCTTCTGCCACGGGAAAATTACAGCAGCTTCTCAGCGTGCTGGCGCTGCAGGTCACATCCATCATCCCCAGGCCTCTGTTTTACTTTTAATTACAACACTTCACTCAGGGATGTAGCTCCACATCATAAACCTAAGGAGAAAGTAGCATTTAATTTGTAGAACAGCCATTAAATCCTCTGCTTCAATGACATTAATTTGTTGCTCTTCCTCGCACTACGGAAAAAGCGACGTTATGTCGCTTTCAGGATTTAGGAGTTTGTGAAAAGCTGCTTGCCCAAAGCCACCATTGCTTTAAAATTAGGTGCCTTTTCCTTGGTGTCCATGTGCTCGCCGTGACACAGCCTGTTAACTGAAACCTCCACAGAGAAATGGTCCCAAATAGCTGGCAGTGATGTTATGATGTTACGGCTGTGCTTCTTTAAAGAGGTAATTTAAGAGCAGTCATTGTGCCTGTGACAACCGCTTCAATCTGAACATTTCCATTCCATTTTTCCCAGGTTGGTTTTTTATTTGATTTTATTTTCTAGGTGGATCCTACTTTTGTGAGAGAAATGAGGAGTTTAGCACAGCTCTAATGAACTGCACACCCAAGAATGGATCTGGGCTGCACTCACCCGAACACGTAGGTCCTTTGGCCATCTGCTGAGCCTAAAATCCACCATTTCCTGCCAAAATTTGCACCAGTTCCTTAGCGAATGGACATTTTCCGTACTTTGGGATCAATAGCATCCACACAAGCATCCTCATGGTCTACAAGATCAAAACACATCAGTGGCCGCTGGTTTTGTAAGTGGTCTCCTACATTTCCTATAGAAAACAGGCAAAATGTGGGCAAGTAGCTTGGCATATTTGGAGAGGGAAAAAGAGAAGGTAGGTTATTAAATGCTGCCCTAGCAAATCCCTGACTTTTACAAAAAAAGGAAACCTCCACTATCTCGGTTCCTAGCAGAATAGAAAAGTCACAGCCTCAAGGATCCTTTATCATTGATTTAAGATAGAGCATTAAAAAAGAATTATAGCGGTGCCCGAAAGGCAAGACAAGGTCTTGAAGACAGCATTTGCCCTGACCAGTGGGTCTCATTCAAGGCAAGAGGATTAAAACCTACAGAAAAAACATCTGGGATGAAGTCACACTGATCTCTTCCAAGCAAAAATCCAACCAACCAAAAACCAAACACAGAAACAGTTTTCTCTTTAAAAAAACTGTAAAAAGAGTGGCACTAGTGGTCCTAAGAAAATTCCAAGAAGTGGGAAAGCACATTTAACCAGAGCAGGGCCTAGCGTAGCCCCAAAGTCAACAGAAGATCCAAGAGCATGCCAAACTAATGTCCAGACAAGGTGACTCCCAAGAGGGTTATTTTTAACTACATGTATGGTTTCTATCTTAAAGTCACTTAGGGGGCTTCAAAAGCAACATTGGACTCAGTCTGTGAAAGGGGTAAGACTGGGTTTTGCATTTGTGAGACCAGCCGAGCCCTGTCAAACACTTTCTACTGCTTCTTCAGGGTTTGAGAATGGGTAGGACATGCCAGACTGGCCCAGAGTTGATATATGTCTCTTAGAAAATGAGAGGATGACTTAGCTGTTGTTTGACTTGTGGCATGATTTTAGATTTACTACAAAAATTAAGACAAGATATACTCAACTTTTTGTTCATGACAGAGGTATCTTTTTTTGGTGTTATATTAAACATTATAGAAGGAAGTTTTAAAAGGTCTTCGCATTTGCCTTACTCTGTTCCTACTAAGGTTAATAGGAAATTCAGCATTACTTTAGATGGGAGCAAGACCAAGAATTAGCATTTCTGTTGCACATTTGGGTGTTTTAAAAGGTCTTCGCATTTGCCTTAGTCTGTTCCTACTAAGGTTAATAGCAAATTCAGCATTACTTTAGATGGGAACAGCAAGACCAAGAATTAGCGTTTCTGTTGCACATTTGGGTTTGGGGTGGTGAGAAGAGGGTGCTTTTTCACGTAATGTGGTGGCTCTTACAGGTCCGCTCATTAACTACAGACAGATGAACGGGATTCTCTGGCAGCAAATTCGCACACCAGATCTAGGGGTGAAGCACTTAAATGCTGAAAAATATATGCCTAAAATGTAGTCAGTTTCTAGCATAGTCAAGACTGTCATTGTCACAGAGCGCAGTACAGAATCCCCTGGAATAGCTGGAGAAGCCCCAGCTCCAGAGAGTGAGTCTTAAACAAAAGCTTGCTTAAGAAAACAGTCATTTGCTTGATTATCAGCATGCAAAATCCTTGTGTTTTGATGACTTCAGGTATGATGCACATGGTGCCTGGTAAATCCACACGGCCTCAGGTTGTAACATTTGTGATTGGCTTATGAAACCTGAGAGTAATTTGCAACAGATTTCATTGAAATCTGAACAGATCTCATTGAAAATCCCCAAGTCACACCCCAAATGTCAAGAAACGGAACTTAAAAGCAATGACTTTAAATAGCAATAAATATGGATGCTCCATTTGCCTTTGGGATTTTTGAGCCTTTGGACTTCGCCTTTGCAAGCTATTCTGTGCAAACAGAGAAAGCCAGAACTACACTTTCGTTAAAAATGCAAAAGCCAAGAATATTCCTGAGAAATGTGGAGTCTGTGTGTGGGAAAATGCCTACCAAGCTCTTTTTAATACTGATGCATCAACAATATCTACCTGACCCCTGCAAGCAATTCTGAGGAAAAAGCTCTTATATCTGCAAAGTCTGATTTGAGCCAGTTTTCCTCTTCATAGCTTGTGCTTTCAGTACAAAAAAAAAAGGTTCTTTTTGGCAGCATAAAGCTATTTGAAAGCTTGCTTTGGGGATTCGCACCAGAGACTCAGATAAAACCTACTGGTTTGAGAAGTGCTGAGCTCTCTTTTTTTAGCACAACATTTGGAAACTGGTCAGTTTACGCTGATTAAGAGGAGTTTTATTGTATTAATAAAAGATGTTTAATCAGCGAGCAGCACAGGTAAGAAAGAAACTAATGGTACCTGGCTTTAAAATAATCCAAAAGTACCTAGAAACTTCCTTATTTTTTGGAGCTGTAACTCCTTCCTAGAGACGCCAGTCTAAGCTCCCCCCACCAGATACACCAAGGAGATCATGGCCTTGGTGTCCCTTGCTGCTGTACAGGCCTGGCCACCCTGCTACCTTCCACCCCCTCCAGCTTGTCCTCAAAAGGGTTTTTCTTGTTTTTTCCAGAGAGTCAGAGATTTCCAGGACAGAAGAGCAGAGGGAACCTGCCCTATCTGCCGCTCTGGAGCACTGGAAGGGCCTACAGGGAAGCACTCGAGCTGCTGGGTTTGCTGTTCTTGTGCACAACCTGTTCGCAGGCCACGGTGACTGCAGCCCGTTGGCTTTGGGCTTCCAAACCCGGCATTCCCGGGATAACGTCAGCTCGGCTACCTTGGGCGCTGCAGAAACGGCTCTAAGGCTGGTTGCCAAAACGCCCTCCGAGGTGTTAACTTGCCCTCATCTGATTTATGCTATCGAGACCAGGCAAGATGCAGCTCATCAATGTGACAGAGTTGGGGTAATATGGGTGGGTGCTGGGCAGGGCTTGTGGGCACGGGGGAAGCACAACGAGGGCATCATCCTCCTCCCTTCTGGTCACTCTCAGCGTGATCAGAAACACATCAAATGTCACTTTTGGATGTATTCTAAGACTGTGCATAAAACAAAGATATTTCTCTCCTCCTAGCTCACCAAAGTAGTAGAGAATGGCTTACAAACCAAAAGTCTGTAAGAGTTCTTTACAAATTCATCCACTCTTGCTTAGGGGCTGCTCACAATAACTTTCATCTACTCTAACTATGAGCTTCTGCCCTCTTGCTGTCCTGACCGGTGGCAATCACAGAGGTGGCTGCACTGAGACACACACAGTCCTTTGCCACTTGGCTTCTAGCAAATCAAAGCCGATTGCCAGCCCTTGGGTCTACGTATCCAGCAGAAAAGCTGGAGCTTCGAAGGGCAAGAACTGATGTTTTATGGGCAGCACGCATCCAAAGGGTATCCACAGACTGTCCACATCTGACACCAAGCTTTACAATGCTAGATGTTATTGCATCTTACTGTGAAGGGGTTTGCAGAAAGTGTTAGCTCATCTGCAGCTGAGCTGGTGGCATCTACCTGCAGCAACTGCTCCTCAATGCACCAGCCCTTCCCAAACTGCTCCTAGTACAGGAAATAAAAACATTTTAATCTGAAACTACAGAGGGAACAAAACCACCTGTGTAGACTTCCCAGCCATTTCTCTGCTATGGAAGAAGCAAATTTGTGGCTAGAGTTTGTATCTCCTATTGCATCAGCTGAAACAGCTGGAAAAACTAGACAAGTTTCCGGGCTTGCTTGGGTCCAAGATAGCAAGCAGCAGATTACAAAGCTAGATATGAGATGAGATCAGGAAAAAATTGCTCATGCTTAGGATATATGTTACATATCTGCCTATCAAAGGGGGCTGCGGAAGCCCTGCGTGGATGACAGAGTCTGCTGGCTCTGCCAGCGCCGGCTGCCCAGCCGGGAAGGGGCTTTTTGGTAGGGACATTCCCCAAACCCTTCAGGGATGGGCATGGAGCTGATATTACGGACGGGAACGGCGCTGGCGTTGCCGAGCGTTTTACAAGGAGTTGCTGGTAACCCCGCGCAGCGTTGTCACCGCGTGGTGCGGAGATGGCTTGGAAATGCTTTCATCCAAAAGCCTTAGCATGTAAGTAGCTTAGCCACTCGCAGCTACGTCGGTTAAGATTGGGCACGGCGGATTGATTACCCCAATCTCCACACGCAGCTTGCTTGCCCGGACACAATAGTCCCTGCAAGAATTGCTGGGCACTTTTACTCCATTCTTCCGATTTTCAGGCTCATTTCTTGCCAGGATGGTTGGACAGCATTGCTGGTGTTGAACTGCACCCTAGCTCCACTTTGCATTTAATAGTGCTGTTAAACACCCTCATTTCTAGGTATTTTAAACATTCGTAATTTAATAGGCCTACTTCATTGGATTCTGAAAATAACCTGGAGATTTTAGGACAAATATCTTCTTGACACAGAATAGAGGGTGAGAAATATTGTGATTTAGTAGAGATTTAAGAAACAGGTTTGGGTGTCTGGTCCATTCTACAACGCATTCGCCTGTGCCCGTCTCTCCTTGCTGCATTGCTTGGGTGTTTTAGCCACAAGGTGCATTTGGCTCCCCATGGAGATTATTTGTATATTATAAAAACAGAGCATACAGCAGGGAAGATTTCCCCCTACTCAACCCAACCGCACCTTTACCACCCTACCCACAGCATCTCCTCACACTGCAGTGAAGAGCTGCCCTCCTTCCCTTGATCCGCAGTTTTAAGATGAGATACAATCAGTACTCTTACCTAGTAGCTATTTTCCCAGATACATATTTTTCTCAAAAGAGTGTTATGTACTCTCAAAGGACATGACCTTTCTACATGGAAATGTCTCCGTATCTGGATTCTGCTGAATTCAATGAGGATAAAGGTTTCACACAGCTCCTGCCCAAACTCCTAAAGAGCTCCTAGGCAAAATCGCTCTTTCCTGAGGGGTTTTAACATGGCGTTTAGCGTTGTGGTGGGTGTTTCAGCACACCGTATTTACACATCAAACCTCTTGTTCGGGAGTGTATTTAAACTCAGCTTACACCATATCGTTGAGCTCCCTGTGCTCTCGACACCTTCACAAATGCAGAAGCCTTTTCACCACCATCAACAAGAGCAATTCGGACCTCGCTGCTGGGTCAAGGGCAAGTTCAACGGGGATCCGGGGCCACCCCCTCTGGCTCATGGTACGGCACAACGTCTCGTAAGGACACCTGAAGACTGAATTGCCCAAACCCTTGCGAATTTCTGTCTTTTCTGACATATAGAGTGTTAAATATCGTCTTCACAAAGACATTCACCTACACTCACAAGTCTGACAGCTACAGGCATTTTCTGTCTTCACCTTCAGAGAGCACACCAGCAAGCAAAGTCTTCTATTACTGCCTTTTCTTTAGCATCCAGGGAAACTGCTGCCAGCACAGAAATTACCCTTGAAATTCACCTCATTTCTGTATTTCACATCTACACAAACTTTTAAAGAGAAAATATATGAACTAACTGGTAACCACTGGGCATATAAGTAGGCTCATTGTTTTTATTCAGATTATATCAGTTGACAAATTGTTAGCATAAGAACTTGCAGGACCCTTAAATTATCTAAAAAGGCAGTTTTAAGAGGCCAGAGCTTTAAAGTAAGCCAAGGTCAGATATAACATCTGTACTTCATAATAGATGGTGCAAGTAGGTGAGAAAAAATGTTTGACACAACGTAGGTGGCTCTGCAGCCCTGGGTTGGGAGTGTCAAGCGAATTCCAGCAGCTCACTGTTAAAACGAACTCTTTACATACACATATTTGTTTATAAGACTACCTACACAGCCTACCTTGCCTATCGAACATCTGGCAAAACTCGAATCAGGCTATAAAAGGAATCAAAATATACTCAGCTCTAGCTAAATCAGATACTGCTAATGCATTCCTTTTTTTTTTCCCCTGTGCAATTTAGCAAATTAGTTTACATTGTCTGACAAGTTGTCCTGGAAAACATAAAAGCTCCGATTAATTTTAGCTTTGTAGAAATTATTACTCAATATTTGCTTTTTTTTTTCCACCCACCCACACTACAGTTAAGACCCATATCTTCCCTGTCATGTCAGATATATCAATACCAACACGTTAAACCTCCCCCTTCCCTCCCGCTGGTTTAAAGGCAGCTAGACGTTGCCTGGGTAGTGGATATAGTCCCACCTGCTGTGTCAAAACCCTAAAATGAAAAGCCCGAGCTACCATTTACAATTAGCTTTAACGCCAATTTGTTACCCCAGAAATACTCTAGTCTGCCATATCTCTTCAGAGTTAATAGCACCTAGCTGTATATATTTCCCCGTGGGGTTTATACACACTCATTTCAACATATTGCACTCTGATTGATAGCTTTTTAATAGAGCCTACAACATTTAGCTGTTCAGTTAGCAAGTCGGAGCAAATTGGAAAGCCTCATGGCTTATTTCTAAACTCTGTGGAAATCCTGCGCAGCTTTGCACCAGTTGTAAATATAAGCCATGCTGGAAAAAGCTACCCTTGGGGGGAGAAGTATTAATAAGGGAAAAAGAGAATTCCAACAGCTTATGTGGACGCTTGTGCATTGAGGAGCACCCAGCTGAGGGTGCCGGGAGCTTTGGGTGGATCTGCTGCCGCTGGGTCCGTGCTGGGACCGGGGCACCCGCTGCATCCCCACGCTTATTCACCCTAAGGGCACCCAAACCCCACGTTTCCCCCCCAAATAATTGCCGAGCCAAAAGAAAAGCGCAGCTCAACCCGCAGCGGTTCTGCACAGCAGCACGAGCGCCGCTCCCCCGAGCCCCTCGAACCCTGCGCGCTTCCTCAAACGCGGCTCTAAATTCTGAGCCCACACCCTGCCAGCCAAAAACAACCCCGGTTTCCCTGATAAACTTGCAGCTCTGAGCACCTCAGAGACAGCATTTGCTAAACATGCAAGCTTCCTTGCCCAAAGGAGGGGGGGAAATCAAAAGTGCAGCTGGGTTGAGGCTGCCTTTAGGAAATCTGCCCATCTCAACCACGAGCAGCATCCGCGTCGCGGGGCCCCCCGGCCTTGCGAGCCCCCCGCGTCGAGCTATAGGGCAGGGAGGTATTGAGGGAATTCCATACGTTCCATACGTTACCAGGCGCATGGCGAGGGCTGCAGGGAGCGGAGCGGGGGCCGCCGCGGGCCGGGCCGCCGGCGGCAGCGCAGGCGAGAGCGGAGCTGCAGCCCTTCGAGGCGCGCTGGCTCTATCGGCATCAGAAAACCACAGAGAAAGAGGGCTGGATAGCCGGGAAGGAGGGAATCGCGGCGCGCGGATGGCTCTGGCTGCGGCTCCGGCGGTGACGCTCGGAAGGGCAGAGCCGCCCGCTCCCGTGGGCGCCGTGGGGCTGCACACGCGTGCACGGCGCTCCCGAGGCGCCGGCCCCGGCTCGCACAGGATCCCTCCTCCCTCCTTCCCGATTTGCTGCCCGCCGCAGGAAGCCCGGCACGGAGGTGCCTCTCGTGCCACGATGCTAACGCGCTTCTTTTGCTTTAAAGATAATGGCAAAAGTGCACTGCGACTGAACTTGTCCAAGTATTTATCAATGCGTTTTATTTGCATCAAAATAAGCGAGTGTGTGGTTGACGTAATAAGACAGAAATACTGCTAGTTACCTTTTTTTTTCATATACTGGTGGAAGACTTGCTGAAGGCAGAAATAACCAAGTAGAAAAGAATAAAAATCCGTGTTCTTGAATGCTGTTGCAAAATGGTCAAATTTGGTGTTTTGCACCGAACCTCTGCTTCACTTGCCTCAGGAACACAGGGCTTGGGCTTAGCTCTCTGCATGGTGAACGTGAAGCTCACAGAAAATCTGTAAATAAATAGTATCTTGGCTTGAAAAGGGAAGAGAGGCTCCATGCAGCGTGGGTTAAACTGCATTACTGAATTCAGCCTCTTTTCTTCCCTGCACTGATAATTCACTAATTTAAATCTGGTTACAAGTTCAGACAGTAAATATAGCTACTAATAATTACAGCTCTCAAAATTAGAAGTATGGTTCCTGTAGCTTTAGATTGCATTAATTTAACTAACAAAGGAGAGCAAGAAGTCAAGCTAAGCTAAATAACTGGAGGGATTTGTTATTGCTTGCAGTCTTCCTATTAATAAATCAGTCCTCTGTGGGAGGAAAATCAAACAGCAACAAACAAGACTTAATGACACAGAGGGCAGCGCCGAGGAAGGCATAAGGTCTCCAAAACAAAGAGGAAAACATTGGCCAGCTCATTTGGGGAATGCAGCAGCAGACCCGTCCTCAATGTCTGCGATGCTACGTTTGGTTCTCGGATCCGGATGGAGGATCCGGTGCCGGCGGCGAGCGGCTGTGCACGCGTGGAGCTCAGCGCCCTCCGGGATCACCATCCGGATCCATCCGGCAGCCGGACAAGCGCAAAGGCGGCTTCCAAAGATCCTGCTGGGCCCTGGTGCCGGCGCCGTGCAGCGCGTTGGGTGAAGGTGCCCTGGCCCGTGCGCTGGCCCTGCCACCGGCTTCGTCACCGGCACGCACCGCACAAGGCCAGCACCAGGCACCTCTGCGCACGGGGCTTCCTCACGGAGCCGAGGAACCAACCGACCGACACACAGCTCCAGAAACGCAAGGTTAACGGCCTGTCCGTGGCGCGCTGACGCTGCAGACCTGCACCGGAGAACTCGTTCTGCGACAGCGTCCTCTGATGCATGTCCTAGGCAGGAGCATGTGGTGTTGGTTTTGCTTCAAAACTGCCCAAATCGCAGTTGTTAGACGCAGCTGGTGGGCAAAGCCCTGGTGCAGCTGCCCCCAGGCAGGGGGAGGCTCTCCAGGGCTTGCAATAACTTATTTAAAGTCAACAGCTGTGGTGCAACCTGCTGTTTGCTTCTTACTACTAAGGAAAACCAGCAGTTTCCTACAGGAAAAAGGATCCCCACCCCCACCACACACACACACCACTCACAAAACAGAGCTTATTTTTTAAGACAGACGAAGAAGCTTGAGAAAATGTTATATTTTGGGCAAGGATCGAGCTCCTCTAGGAAAATCAATGTAGATGCAAATGCTGGGAATAGGAAGGACCATGATCCTGCCCAGATGAGCAATTTAGAAAGAAGGTGCCAAATTCAGGGATCTATAAAACCCAAAGGTTAATGTGCCGAGGGGTAGCGATGCACAGACTCACTGCAGCTGCCTCTTGCATTTTTGTCTCTGGTCGAGCAGAACTAAATACACAGGGCTCGAGTGGGCCGGGGGTAACTCACTCCACAGAGCCCCATGTGCCCCCCATGTCCTGCCCGGAGTTTAGCCCCACAGCTGTGAGCAATGTGGGCAGCTCCAGCCAGGGCTGCTCTTGGGGCCATGCCAAAGCCCCATAGAAACAAAAACAGCTAGAGGTGATTTTCTACAGAGCTGTACTACCATATTCCAAAGGCTGGAAGGGGCTTGCAGCACTTGGATGTGCAAACACCTTGGGTTTGACTTGTGTGAAAAGCAAAAGCAACTCCCTCCCAAAACAACAACTGAGAACACCCAAGGGAGAGGTAATTTCAGCACTCACCCAAGGGCTCCTGCTGTCACCGTCTCTCTTGGACAAGCTGAGGAAGATCATGCTCGGTCCCATAGGACGGACGGTGCCCTGGGAGCTGCCACCACATTAGAACAAGACGTCTGTTGGACAAAGGAGATGGCAGAAAGCAGAGTGATGTCAGGCCAGTGGCAAAGCAGGATGAAACACGTTTGTTTCAAATTTTCCAACATAAGTAAAACAATGCGAAAATCCACCCCAAATATTATATCTACAAACCTTCCCTTCAAGAGAAGGCCTTGACTTCCCCTTGGTTTCTCTCTTCTCTCATGTATCCTCATATCTCCTCACTTCCACTCCAAGTTCTTCTTTCAATTCTGACTTTGTTGAATTTAGCCCTGTCTTTCTCCAGAGCATTTTTGAGGTGAGTGTCCAACTTAGCCTAAAAGATAACGACACCATGGGGAAGCATCTCCAAGTTGTGCGCGAGGGTAGAAGGCAGCATTGGACACTCAGCCGTGCAAATGCAGCAGCACCCTGTCATAAACCCAACGAGCAAACATTACGAAGTATCCTGCCACTATCTGGTTTGTGCATTTAGAATATCTGTTTGTGTCAAATATTTTGGCATATGAAAAGGCATGCATGCTTTTTGACTGGGAAGATACTGAAATTGTCACAGCCTGTAAAGGTTACATGCTCCATGGTGCTGTGCACTGGAAGGAAAGACGATATGGAGCCAGCGTGTGAATATTACCTATATTGTGAGTTTTCATGATGTGAATTTTGTGTAAATTATATATTTACATATATATATTCAGCCTCTTGCACTGTAACATGTTCAGGGCTCTTTTTTTTTTTTTTTTACATCTTTGTCTCCCTGTGACTGAAGAGAGATCGTTACCAAGAGGTAATGAAAGCTGTAGAGCTGATGAAGCATGCTTTGCTTGGAGCTAATGTCATTTGAGTATTTTCTTTTTCTTTCTGTTTTTGCTGTCTGAAAGCCTACTGTGCTCATCAGTTACCTTACCCAGCCTCTCCCAACAACCGCACTTGCATAGCCATAATTTATGGCTCCATCACTTCTTCATCTAGCCTAATGTACGATTATTTCTCTTGCAGCAAAGACAGCTCCAAACACCTTGGAATGAAAGTGCGCTAGGGGTCTCTGAGCCAGGCAAACTGTTATATGTCTTTTGTGTGTTTTGGGCTTTTTTTTACCTCAAAGAGCAATGGACCTCTAGTTTGAGATAATTCATGAAGTATTCTTCAATTTATAATGGCAGATGTTTGTCTGAGAAGCTCCATCTCCCTTGTTTAAGGAGCTCAACTAAAGGCAGAGACCAAAATAATTTTTATAAATTAAAAATGAAAATGAGTCTTCTGCACTTTTCCTGTTCTAACAAAGACTGGGAAGACTGTTTTTTCCCCTCTGGGACAAATTTTGATTTTTCAGAGATGCTCCAGTGGCACGAAGTCAAGTGCCATCATGATTCCCCGTGTCTCTCTCCTCCTACTCTGAAGGTTTTGGATATAACTTGGGGTTTTTTTATTTATTTTTTTGTCCATAATCACCTTCTTGCTTTCTAAAATGAAAGCCGTTCAAAAGAAGATGGAAAGCAAATAACAAAGCAATCTTCGAGGTTGCCACTATGACCTGTCTGTCTACCATGAACAAGCCGCTCACATTCTAGCTGCAGTGCTGAAAAAGGGGAGAAGGGACTTTATTCTGGCCTCACTGCAATAAGAACAAATTTCTTTAAAGGCTTTTTAGCAGGGTTTTTAAGATGTTGACTATATGGGGAGATGGGTGAGCAGCTCCTAATGACAGAAAAGCCCCCCTGTGTATAGATGTGCAGCCACGGGAAACATCCAGGCCTTCTAGACTGGTACCGAGGGACACAGGGGCTCCTGCCAGCCAGGCTGCTACCCCACAGACGCGTGGGCATTTTGATTCTTTGATAAAATAAAGCTTTTATAGCTTTATCTTTCATAAAATAAAGTTTTTTGAGTTTTCCTTCTTTCCAGCTGTATCTAGAAGTTTCAAAATTGTGTGTGTGTCTCTTTGAAAAGAGATAAATGCATTTGAAAAGGCTGCCTTAAAAACGATCCCAAGAACATCACACGTTACCTGCACAGTGTGGGTCAGCAGGCTTGCAGCGCAGAACTGGAAATAAATGTAATTAATCTTGCTCACGGGATCCAATAAATGGGAATATTCCCCACGAGGCAGCCAAGGCTCTCACCTGGGTAAGGCCCTTTCATCCGCGCTGGGAGCAGCCCAGCACTGGGGGGCTCCTCAGGGAATGGACCTTCTCCTGGTCCAAAGACCAGCCAAAATTCCTGGCTGCTGTTGATGCTTGTTCCCTCCTTTTCCTCCAGCCAAAGACCGGGCAGGGATACAGGAGTGACCTGACCGAAATGCTGCTGTGCTTGACCTACAATGGCAACTCTAATCCTCCCCAGAGAGGATTACAGAGAAAAGAAATGTGGATTTTCCTCTTCTTAAAGAAAAAAAAAAAGAAAGAAAAAAAAAAGAAGCTCTGGGTATCTTGGACTAATTAATATGGTAAATTACCCTACCACTAGGATAATAATGCACCATTAGAAA